CAAACTCAGTGAGTGGTTTTGCTATAAGTCTGAATAGTTTTAGAGATTGTGCTACAGGAATCACAGTTAGGGTTTAAGCATTCACAAAAAACTGTAATTAGAGCAGGTAGATGCACTGCCCTCTAGTGGAAGAGAATGTAATTGTTCTGCCCGTTACTCATGCTGATTGCTTGGAGTACTAATCAGGTGGAGATAATCTTACACAGCACACCTGTGTGCTGCATCACAGTGCTCTGATCTAACAGCTCCGTGCTGCAATTTGGAATCTCTGGCACTGAAAATCTCACATTCTCACAGTGTATTGTGTGATCTCAGCCTAAGACCAATCAAATAGCCGTTTTCAAGTTATAAGGCTTTGTTGTCAATTTTCAATCAATAAATCATGAAGTTAACCTTGAAGAGCTCGGTGGATGTAAGCCAGATTTAATGAATTGTTAACATTACCCCAATCTTCTACTGCTCTAAACATTTTGAGCAATCGTGTTTGTAGACAGAATGCCATGCACGCATGAACACACACAAACACTTCCAAGTACAGTGGGGGTGGTACCAAACCAATAAGTTGGACACTAACTGGAAGGTTGGTTGTAAAAACATGACCTCCTGGGCAGAGGTGAAAAGTCCAAGTCCTCATGTTGCAAACTGAGACATGAGCGCTGGTAAAAATCTTCACTTTCTATCATATTTGTATTTGGTTTCTTTTGAATGGAGATTTTCCTTTTTGCAACAAGTGTTCAAAATAAAACTTTATGTCTGTCATGGTCCCTGTGTGTGCCCGGCCAGCCCTGCAAGACTACATGTGTTTTTGTTTTAGTTTAAATCTCTGTTCCCCTCCCTCCTGCTCCTGCATCACTCGGGCTCCTGCCTTTGACATACTCACCTGCCGCTAATCACTCACCTGTTGCTCATCACTGCTTCTGGACACTACTAAAGGCAGCAGCTCAGAGCCTCTCTTGGCTGGAATATTGAACACGTTAGTGAGAAACCCGGCTTATAGATTCGACCCGCTGCTGCTAGCCTGACAACGTCTATACTGTGTGAAAACATGCAGACCTATGCGAGCTTGTGTCTGCGTGTGCGTATCATATGGATACACACATTTGGTATATGTATGCCAAGTGTTGATCATGACCTGGTTCTTGTCCTTCAGTGATGCGTTTGCAGCTGCAGTTCAGCTCTTTGCTCATGTACTCAGCTCCTTTTTCCTCTTCCTCACTGGCGCCTTTGCCTATCCACAGAAAGCCCTGCCCATCAGGGGTCCTCAGAAAGAAGGCATCATTAGAGTTTAGGCTGGCGGCACTGGCATCAACCTAAAACAGACAAGAAGTTCAGCATCTTTGCATAAACACATCATTACTTTACTAACGACAAGGAAATGGTTTACCTCAGCAATCCTGGTGATGGTGCCCAGGTTCCGTCTGACTTGGAAGAGTCGCGTAGGAGGTGGAGGAGGATGATCGCCCAGGCGGGATGTGCCGCTCTTATACACAATGAGGGGTTTAGATTTAAAAAGACTGAGCAGATGTGGGGGTTCTTTACCCTGAGGCACTCTGACCTGAAACCATATGAAGCAAACTGGTTTTTAACATACCAGTTAAAGAAAGTTCAAGACAATTATTTTTCACAGGACAATTGAAAGTGTTTCTGGTCGACTCGCCCGTTTTCTGTCTGTGTGTGTGTGCACGTGTAGGTCTGCTTATGTGCTTCAGGGGCGGAGCTTGCCTGGCTTCCTGCTCCTTTGGTATCACATCTGTGATCCATTGCTGATTATGGACCTGATTCCAGTTGGGCTCATTATGAATGATCTACACTATAGTGTCAAAAGTATTTGCTCGTCTGCCATCACATGAATATCAAATTGAGTGATTTCTTAATCCAGAGGGTTTAATATGACCCAGCCAACAGTCTGGGAAGGCTTTCAACAAGCTTTCCACAAATGTGCATAAAAGAAGGGCCATTACGTTAGCTCCTGTCTGTATTGGGTTAGGGTCAGGTACATGGTGTACAATCTTAGCATGTTTCAATGAATCACTGCACCAACTTCCTATTTTCTAGCAAAATATAAAGAAATGAGGAGTGGCTCAAGATTTTGCACAGTACTGTGCATTTAGAACAATTAACAAAGCAATCCGTACAAGTGCTTCTCATATTTATTTGACACTGGTGTTGTACCTGAACCGCATTCCCTCCCAGTGAACGATCCAGCTCTACGGTCAGGAACGCTGAGGCAGTTAGCTCATCCACAGAGCAGCTGGCTCCCTGCCTGCAGGAGACAGTAATAGTAATCAATATTCAGTTAGTCAAGTTACAGTTAATCTAGAAAGTGAACCAATCTATATTCTTAAAATAAAAATGCATCAAATAACTTTGTCACCAGCTCATTGTTATGGATTTCACTCTTTACTTTTTACACTCAGTCCGTTCTCCCACTTTGATTTAGTAAAATGTGAAAAAATTGAAAATAATCAGAAAAAACTACCAAACAAATAGACAAACATTCATGTTCATGTAGCTGTGATTCACTGTGATTCACTGTATTAGGAGTCTTAGCTGTCCATAGGGTGTTCTGTGATGGGAGCTTCCTCAGCTCTATGAGAAAAACTTTCAGTTACCCTCATTTTGTAATAAAGATTCTGTGTTATGGATGATGCATTATCATCCACGCTTAGGAGTAGTCATTTGAATTTAAAATTTGAGCCCTGTTTAATCCAGAATTGAATTCAAAATCCTGCTCCTCACATACAAGGTCTTAAATAATTGTCATGGTTAGCAGGGCAAACCGTGTGGAATTATTAAAGGACCCAAGATGCAGGCACTACTGATGTGAAGGAGCTTTACTTATGGTGAGTGAACATACAACAAAGACGAGGGTGGCGAAAGCAGAACTGAGAAAACCTAAACTGGGAAAACAAGCAAAAACCAAACATGAAACGGAGAAACAGGGAGATGCAGAAAGACACCGGGAGCTAACGAGACAGGAGGCAAGTAAAACTGAACACACTGACATCAGACACGAACCTTCAAAGTAAAACAGGAAACTCAAAACACACACGAAGACAGAGACTCAGAGACGCGGGCTCTACACAGACTACACTAGAGGGGATACACAGGCAGGGCTGACACAGATCAGAGGGAGCACAGAATTAACACCAAACCAAATAACAAAGCCTAAAAACTAGAACTCAGGAAGTTCTACAAAACTAGGGAGCTAGAAATACTAGGACAGAAACCAAAACACAAACAGTCATAATTCATAATAAAATCAAAAGTAAAAGTACAAAAACCAAAAATAACTGAGTCACCGACCTGTGACAATAATCAGGCCCCATCTTATCTTAATGACCTTGTAGTACCATATCACCCTATTAGAGCACTTCGCTCTCGCTCTGCAGGCCTACTTGTTGTTCCTAGAGTATTTAAAAGTAGAATGGGAGGCAGAGCCTTCAGTTTTCAGGCCCCTCTTCTGTGGAACCAGCTTCCAGTTTGGATTCAGGAGACAGACACTATCTCTACTTTCAAGATTAGGCTTCAAACTTTCCTTTTTGCTAAAGCATATAGTTAGGGCTGGACCAGGTGACCCTGAATCCTCCCTTAGTTATGCTGCAATAGAGTAGGCTGCCGGGGGATTCCCATGATGCACTGGGTGTTTCTTCTTCACTCACTTCTTTCACTTCAGTGTTTGTAGACTCACTTCTGCTATTATTAGTTGTTATTAATCTCTGTCTCTCTTCCACAGCATGTCTTTTCCTGTCTTCCTTCTCTCACCCCAACCAATCACAGCAGATGGCCCCGCCCCTCCCTGAGCCTGGTTCTGTGGAGGTTTCTTCCTGTTAAAAGGGAGTTTTTCCTTCCCACTGTCGCCAAAGTGCTCATAGGGGGTCATATGATTGTTGGGTTTTTCTCTGTATCTATTATTGTAGGGTCTACCTTTCAGTATAAAGCACCAAAAGGTGACTGTTGTTAGGTTTTGGCGCTGTATAAATAAAATCGAATTGAATACCAGGTTTTTGTAATTTTTTAAAAGTCTACTAACAATATTGACATAGATACCACTCTCTCCTTTTTAAGAAAAACAATAAAAAAACCTGCATTCTGATTAAAAAGACAGAAATCACATAGAGAATCTCATATTTCAAAATGTTACTTAGTATCAGACAAAGGTTTCTCAGAAGAACATTCTCCAAGCTTTGGAACCGCCAACATGGCTCCAATAGCTTGGACAATGTTTTCTGATATGCAAAATAAAATGAACATTTTTTCCCAACCAAACATTCTCCACTTCTTTGACCTTCTGGATGAGGTTTCCTCACTTAACACTGAACGCTTGTCCTTTTGCAATATGCCAGCGTTGAGTTCTTTTTCCCATGTTGCCTTCCTGTATCACCCTGTATGAATCCTTTATTCATTATATTTTGATCCATCAGCCTGTTTTACAAATCATTCTTGTAGTATTCTTCTTGTAGGCATAACTCAGGATGTCAATTAGTATGTCAACTTCCCTTAATTCTCCCGTTTCAGTTTTTTTTGATACAGTAATCCCTTACTTGTAATTACCTTGTAAATCCCCTTTGTAATTCTGCAAACCTTCTAAAAGGTCCAGTCAGTGTACAAACTGTTGTGATACCCTTGTCTCACAATTTTTCATGCTCAATCATCCAAGTATGGAAATCCCCAAAAGTTGATTCTGCTCACCTGGACGTAGCGTTTTCAGTGGGAGAAATGTTTTGTCACTCATCCAGGTGACTTCTACAGTCTCAGCTGACTGCAGACTACAGGTGCAAGTTTCAGTCATTATGCAAATGTACTGTTTATATGGTTGGGGAACCTGCAATCACCTAAGACCAAAGAAGACACTTGAATGAGTGACTGAACGCTACGTCCAGATGAACAGATTCAACTTTAGGGCTCAGATTGGTATTTTAATGTCTCCCTCCAAAATATGCTCCCCCAGATTTTATTCCATTGATTGATTTCATTATCACTTTCCTGAAGATGTTTTATTCCCTTGGTCTACTAATGATGTTGGAATTCGATTTTGGATTCTTTGTCCTTTCATCTTGCTTGGTAATGAGAATAGCATGTTCTCATTCCCGACGCGTAACATACCGCCACGTCCCGAGGCGCTCCATAGGAATGCGAAAGGTAACCTTCCACGTCCCTGTGATACACGCCGGATTGTGGATGGAATCCAATAGGATGATGCTCCCTAACCTAAACCACAACCTTAATCGTGTTAGATAGTGTTTTCCAATCACAATAAATGATTCAGTCCAAAAGGTTCTCATCTTTCCTCCTGTTTCCGAAAGCGTAACATACAGACGATTTGTCGATTTTGTAATATGTTACGTTTTGGGATGAGAACGTGTTGGCATACACATACAGTGAGCAGAGCATAATATGAAGTCTTGATCTGGTCAGTTAGTGGACGGGGCTGCTCAGTTTCAGCTGCTTCAGTGTTAAATACAGAGATAACAGTGAGACTCCACCCCCCTCATATTTTCTGAAAGCAGGGAAATAGCATGGTGTCAAAAGGGCCAGTAACCATGTGGAGTGTGCACTAAAGGTCGACTAGTCCTGGGGGTGCACCACTTTTTACCAGCATCAGCAGTGACAGGACATTTGGTGGTGAGAATCAGAGTATGTGTATTGGATGCAAAGTAGCTCAGTTTCTGAACTCATACCAGGTGTAGATTATCTGCCCCTTCCTGTAAGTGTACAGGATGATGTAGCAGTCTCCACCGTAGAACTGACCATAGTTCTTAGGATCAACAGGGACCCTACCACTGCTCTCCACCCTCCAGATCTATAAAATGAGAAAAATAAGAATAGTTATTTCTCTAGTAACACCATAATAATTTTCAGCAAAAACTGATTTGCTGTTGCAATAGGTCAACTCATCTTCCCTCAAAGCAGTGTTCCTAGTATCAACATGAATCATGTCACCTACAGCCAAATAGCTCCAGAATCAAAGCAAATTAATTTTACTTATATAGCACTTTTAAAAACAACAACTGTTGACCAAAGTACTGTACAATACAATAATCAGATACAATTTAAAAAGAAAGTAAAATTAAGGATAATAAAATAATAAAATAATGACAGACCTGACTGGCCTTAAAAGCCAAGGAGTAAAAATGGGTCTTTAGACGAGTTTTAAAAGTATCCAGTGTTGGAGAGGATCTGATATGTAAAGGCAGTTTAGTCCACAGTTTCGGAGCAGTCACAGCAAAAGTCCGATCTCCTCTGTGTTTTAATCTAGACCTAGGGACAACTAGAAGCTCCTGCGAGACCTCAAAGATCTCACTGGAGTGTACCAATTTAGAAGGTAAGACAAGTGCTGAGAAGCCATCTCAGTGATAAGAATAAGACCCATGCTATCAATACATACAGATTACCAGGCATCAGATACTCAGGTGGAATAATAAACTGGCCACACAAGGACATCAATGTCAAGACATGAAAGCTCCTTATAGTACATGGAGGTCTCCACCTAAAGTTCACTGAGGCTCAAAGAGCAACAGCAGTTTCAGAGCCACAGTCTGAAGCACACCTATAGCCCCTCGTACTTCTGTTTTCTTCTCTCCTTCTTTCTGATGATTGCCACCACTACCACAACTGCTGTCTTCTTCTCCGTGTTAACTAGTTGGCTGCCCAGCAGCTGCTTGTCAATTTTCAGTGTAATTTAATTTTATTTACAATACCGCTCAAAGGTTTTAGAAAACCCCAATTTTTCCAGTTATTTATTGCAATTCAAGTCGTTCAAGTCCAATGAATAGTTTGAAATGGTACAAAGGTAAGTGGTGAACTGCCAGAGGTTAAAATAAAAGGTAAGGTTGCCCAAAACTGAAAAAAAGTACATTTCAGAATTACATCAAAAGGTTTTTCAGGGAACACAACATGGGCCAACAGTTTAAATCTGTTCTGCAGCAAAGGAGTTTGATCAAGCTTTGAAAGCTGGTGCTGCTAATTCCTACAGATGTTCCAACTTCTCTGGATGACTTCCAACCCGCTCTGTCTGCAGGAAAGCAGTGTTGGAGCACACTGTGGCATCATACCCTCGTGAGCATCAGTCGAACAGTACTGCAGAAAGTAGTGTGTTGCTACAAAAAATAGCGAGAAAAAGGCAATTAACATTGGAAGAGAGACAGACCATCACTTATAAATGTAGGTCTGTCCTACAGAGAAACTGCAATGAAAGTCAAGGTGTCAGTGAGTCCAGTTTCCTTCACCATCAAAAGGCTCAGAAGCTGGAGCAAACTGCAGGTTTGACAGGATGAGTTGCAGCAAGAAAGCCATCCCTAAGATGGCAGAATAAGACAAAGAGGCTTGTCTGGGCCATGAAACACTGCGACTGGGCTACTGAAGACTGGAAGAAGGTATTATGGACTGATGAATCAAAGTTTGAAATCTTCGATTCATCACGCAGCATCTTTGTAGGCCGTCGAGTAGGTGAAAGGACGGGTCCACTTGGTCTATAAACTGATTCCATGATTTATTTGATTCCAATTGCTTATTGGTACTATGCTTTCATTTCAGAGTGCAATGAGACATTAAACTGCATAATTCTCAATAAAAATCTGGAAAAATGGGGGTGTTCTAAAACTTTCGACTGGTAGTGTAAGTCTCACCATTTGAACACTGTCTTATCCCCAATGTCATCAGTAGTCTTTAAGCACAAATGAACCAGGATTCTGATGCATGCTCAGGTACTTGATTTCACACACCTGTGGCCATGAAAGCTACTGGAACGCCTGAATTCAACGGTTTAGATGGACGAGTGAATATTTTTAGTAGTAAAGTGTGTATGTATCTTAGTGCCTTGAGGCAATTGTTGTTTGGTGCTATATGAATAAAAATGAATTGAACTGATTTTTTTTTACAGGTCCACAACACAGAAATGAAGATTTATTTTTTTTATTCCTTTATTTTTTGGGGGAAATTGTTACTGTGTCTCCACAGTATTCCTGGTAAAACAGGAAAAACAAAAACGGTTGGATTAACCACGTTACCCCAAAGATGGTGAAATCTAAAGAGAAAATGATAAAGGTAACAAGTGAAGCACCAGCATAGTTTCACATGGACACTACTTTTAGAGTTCTAAGGAGCTTGGAAAGAAAGAGACAGGACTTCTTCAGTTTCTTCTTCTTCTTCAGTTCTAAAACCAAACGGTGGAGAGTCTCAGGTATTTAAACCCTAGTGGGTGTTGTGCCTTAAGAGGGTTGTTGACCAACTATTGATCATGTGCATCATCACATGAGCCAAGGAGTGGAAAGGGTGTGGGTCATTATCAGCAGAGGTTTCGGGTGAAATCACTGTGAGACCTTGCCTCACCCTATCGGGACCAAATCACACAAGATGTGAGTGAGCGTTAAGACCACTTCGACAGGACAAGAGTCACCTGTACATCTGCACTTAAAGGTAAGGGTCACTCTTTCTTTCTTTCTTTTCTTCAAGAAACTTTAAAAAGTCCAGATTACCACGACCTCGATGACTGAGAACATACACAGACATACAGTACAGTTCATTCACCTGTGTTTCTCCACTCCCATCATCCACCATGTTATACTGAGCTGCCATGTGGTGGGACTCATGAAGTTTTGAGGCATCAAACTCAACTTGCTGAATCTTGGCAACCTTCTCAGTGGTGAACACCTTCCCAAAACCCTCACTCTGATCTCTCTCCTTCCAGTCCAGGAAGAATTGCTTGAACATGGGAGTCTCTCCTCCTTCTGGAAGCACCTGAATCTGCAGGACCATCAGGAGGAACATCACTGGAACTATTTCCATTTCCAATACAGGACAGTTTTCCAATAGTCCTGTACTTTTACTTACAGGAAACTTTCAAAGAATAATATGAAAATGTGTCCAGTTTCCATGAAGTGAAACTGAAAGTAAACCTGTGTGTTTGCTGGGTAGCCCATCTGCTTGATGAAGTTCTCAGCTGTTTTCATGGCCTCTTTTCTTTCATCGGGATTAGCATTATGTCCTGCAGGAAAAAAATAGATGAAATCAATGCTGATATGAAACTGGGTAGCTTATTTCACTTATAACAAGCCATTCAAAGCAGGTCCCAGAATCTCTTAGCTAACACTGTTTGAGCACCTTTCCATACAAATATCATTTTGTTTTTGCCGTGATCCAGGATGAAGCATTCATCTGATAGTAGGTCACTCTGCAGGAAGGGGTTTTCTTCCTTCACAACAGTCACTGTCATGGATCCTGATGCATCAGACACCTGGTTATTAACAATAATAATAATAATAATAATAATAAGTTATATGATGGTTCTTGACTTCATTTAAGAATTTGTGCAAATGTTAGATAGAAAACAAACAGAAAAAGTTCTTATATGAATGTGTTTAAATGTGTGAATGATGCAGAGGTGGAGTACAAATACTCTGTTACTGTACTTAAGTAGAATTTTCTGGTATCTGTACTTTACTTGAGTAGTTGTTATTCTGACAACTTTTTACTTTTACCCCCTACATCTTTAAGCAAATCTCTACTTTCTACTTTTTCATTTTCAAAACGTTATTTTTGGTTTAAGGGATTTGAGGGGAGTTATTATTTCATGTCATTGCGGGCCATCAAACTGATTTGATAGTAACAGTAACTCATTAAGGCAGTCATGTTTGCATATTAACCACCAGGGACTGTTGTACAAAAAGAAGTGAAAGATGCAAAACTGTGTGTCAAAGTCAGGCGATGAAGTGGCGTCTTGTTGTTTTGTTTGGGGTTTTTTTGCACACCAGAGTGACTGCAGGTGTCCATAAGTTGCGGTTGGGACACTTCAGCATCTAGCTAGATTTAGAGACATGCAAGCATAAAGGGAGTAATACTTTTTAAGTGGGAGGTAATTTCAAATATAATGTTTCTATCAGCTCAACAAACACAAACTGTTTGTGTGCAGTTTGCCTCACAGAGTGTTGCAGCTAAAGGTCCAGCTGCTGTGTCTGCTGTTGCTGTGTAGCTGTGTATCATCAGCAACAGCTCGCAGGATTCAGAGTTATGACAGTGTTTGGGGAAACATTCTAACTATTAGACAACAAAGATCTTTGTCGATTTTTTTCAGTGTTTGTTGATGTTAATACTGTACCATATATAGTTTAGCCATCTTTCTGTTAGACATGTCTGCCTCTGTGTCATCATCATCACCTCCCTCTGACAGCGGTGGCTTGTCTCCAAGAACCTGTCCAACACCAGAAAAAAGCAAAAAAAAAGAAAAAAGAAGAAGTGAAACAATTAATGCTTCCAGTAAATCCAAAAATAAACAATTCAACCAAAGCATAAATATAGCAAACTATAAACAAGCATAAAAGAAATAAAAATGAGTTGAAAACATGAATTGAATGCACATGTGAAAAAACTAGTGAATGTTTTGCACTATTGCATTTATATGTAGATTTATCAACTTATGTTTTCTGAAGCAACACAAAAAATGAATAAAACACAAATATCTGTCAGCATTAGGTGTTTAGTCTACAGTTCAAACATATATTTCTTGTTTGATTTCAAGTCCACTGCTAATGTAGAGACGCACCCCCCCCCCCCCCCCCCCCCCCCGCCAAAAAAAACCTAGCTCTGTCTTTCTCCAACAAAATAGGGGGCTAACTGTACTTCACACAAAAATGAAGAAATTAGAAGTGCAAATGTTTATTAGCTATCGAAAAGGGTGGGAACAGACAGTCATCCATAATCACGTCAGGGCCTCGGGCCTGTAGTCATTTAGCCCTGTGATGGTGGACTTCTTTGGTGGAGTGTGTGAAGCAGGAGGGAGCACAGTTCCAGAGATCTGTTAATAATCCAGGTGAAGATTGGGGGCCAGTTGGTCACACAGATTTTCAGGCTCAAGGGGGGCATGTCGTCAGGTCCTGGAGCCTTTCTGGTCTTCTGTCTCTGCAAGTGTAGACCCACGTCCTCCTCACAGATCTTTAGTGCAGGTAGGGAGTCAGAGGGCGGGGTGTGTGGGGAAATTGAGACTGCAGGTAGTCTTTTTGTGTAGGTGTGAGTTGAGGGTGAGCAGATGGGATTTTTTGGGGGTTGTCTTTAAAATCTGCAGTAGAAGGTGTTAATGTCATGAGCAACCAGGGCTAGGGGAGGGACTCTTGTATTTGGTGATGTGCTGCAGGCCTCTCCAAACGGATTCTGGGTCACTGGCTGAGAAGCTGTTCGTTTTCTTTAGCTTTCTTTAGCTCCTCTTAGCTACCCTGATCTCTTTGCTCAGCTTGTTGGGAAACAGCCCAATGAGGTCCATGCACTCAAATGGTCATGAAAAGAAAGAAAAACCATTAAATGAGAAGTTGTGTCCAAACTTTTGACAGGTAGCGTTTACTACTACCTGGTAGTGGTATACGCTATATGGACCTATAGTGTATATAGAACATATACATGTACAGTGGCGGTCCTAGCCTGTTTGGCGCCCCGGGCGAACACTCCCTCTGGCCCCCCCCCCCACACACCACACTCACATAAAACATATTAAGGATTATACATTAACATAAAACTGTTCTTGGAACCATACTGAATTTCACCAGAGAAACACACACACCTGTATCTTTAGCTCGTTTCTCCTCCTCTTCTTTTCTCTTTTTTCTAAACTGAGCACCTGATGGCTTTGAACTTTTCTTGTCCATCTTGGTTTTAATTTTGCACTCCAGTATGAACACAAATCCCCCAACACGAGGATCACCACAACTTAACCTAACAGACCTACACCTTAGTTCACAGATTCTCTTTGTCTAAGGTTTATTTCTGAGATTTCACACAACCCAGGATTCAAATCATGAATACATGATGGGCTTGGATTTACAACATTATAAATGAAATGCGCTCTATCTGGAAGCAGCCGCCCCCTCCCCTTTCGACGGGTTGTGTGTGAGACTTTAAATCATCAACTGTAAATTATAAATTTTAAATTGTTATTGATCCTTTATCCCGAGTCCTAAAGTGTATATTCATTTTCTTACTCTTCTTATATTTATTGTTTGTTTACTTGCACTGCTGTAACTGGAGCCTCGTCGTCTCGTCTCTATATACTGTAAGTAGCGGAGATGACAATAAAGTTTACTTTGACTTCAGCAGCGAGCAGGCGCACCGAGGGCTCTCGCGCTCACTTTTCGCATATAGAACTTTGAAAAAGCATCGATGAAAATTATAAGTCTGTATTATAATGTCTGGTGTTTTCGTGTTTGTTGTTTTGTTTTATTTTGCGAGTTGGTTATTAGATGCTGCTCAATGCTTGTCGATGCCCGTGATGCCATCCCCCCACCACGATGCCGCCCCGGGCAACCGCCCGTGTCGCCCATATCAATAACCGCTATAGTACTATAGTACATGTACATTCATGACTATTTACATTGTAGATTCTCATCAAAACTATGAATGCACACATATGGAATTATGTGGTAAATAAAAAAGTGTGAAATAATTCAAAGCATGTTTTATATTTTAGATTCTCCAAAGTAGCCACTCTTTGCTTTGATTGCTGCTTTGCTCACTCTCGGCATTCTCTCTCTTCATGAGGTCGTCACCTGAAAAGGTTTCCAACAGTCTTGAAGGAGTTCAGAGATGCTGAGCTCTTGTTGGTCCTCCATCTCATCCCAAACCATCTCCACTGGGTTTAGGTCAGGTGACTGTGGAGGCCAGATCATCAGGTGCAGCACTCCATCTCTCCTTCAGTTTTGAATAAATCCCCAACAGTGTCACCAGCAAAGCCTCCGACACCATCACACCTCCTCATGCTTCACGGTGGGAACCTTGCATGTAGAGACCATCATTCACCGTTCTGTGTCGCACAAACACACGGCAGGTGGAACCAAAGATCGCAGATTTTGGACTCATCATCAGATGAATGTATCCTCAGCAGCAGACAACTGTCAGACAATTAAACTGTCAGACAGTTTAATTGTAGCACTTGATGGTTTTTGCGACTGCACTTGGTCAAATAGCTCTCACACAGCCTGGAGGTTGCTTTTTCCGGACTGACTGACCTTCAGTTCTTAAAGTAATGATGAACTGTTGTTTCTCTTTACTTAGCTGATTGGTTCTTGCCATAATAGGATTTCTAACAGTTGTCAAACAGAGCTGTCAGCTGTGGACCAACCCGACTTCTGCACAACAGAACTGATGGTCCCAACCCCATTAAGAAGGCAAGAAACTCCACAAATGAACCCTGACAGGCTCACCTGTGAGGGGAAACCATTTCAGGTGGACTACATCATGAAGGCCAAGAGTTTGCAGCACTGTCAACAAAGTAGTCTTCAGTATGTATCTACAATGTACAAAGCAGTTAAAATAATAATAAAAAAACCAAAACATTGAATGACAAGGTGTGTCCAAACTCTGGACTGGTAGTGTATATGTTTAGAACAGGAAACCCAAATGCAAAATAACTTAACAGCCATAAAATAGGACTTACATCTGTTAACTTTGATGGTTCACTTCCTTCTTCTACGACTATCACTTCTGCACGAGCATTCCTCTCGTTGTCACGGATACCCCTGGCCACTTGTGTTGCCTTCAGTCGCTCATACTTGTTACACTTGGATCCACACCACTGGTAGATCTTCTGCTGACACAACAACAGTTAGACAAGGCAATACAAACTTGGCTTTGGGCCCTATTTAATTTACACTCGCCCTGCAGATATACATAGTGTCTACATATACTATATCTGCCTTCACACGCATATGAACTTGAGTAACATCCCATTCTTTATCTTTAGGGTTTAATACAGCTCCTCAGGTTTTAAGAGTGTTTTTATATTTTTGAGCATTCATCCAGAAGCACATTTGTGAGGTCAAATACTGATGTTGGCTCACAGTCTCCCCTCTAATTTATTCCAAAGCTGTTTTATCAGCTTTGGATACACCATCAGTCTTCCTGCATTTGGCAAAATGCAGCCAGTTCCATGTTCCTGGCAATGCCAAACCCAGACTTGCCAGTGAGATTACCAGATTGAGAAATGGGATTCATCGATCCAGAGAACATATCTTCCCTGCTCTTTGTGATGTAACGGTTGAATGTGGCTGACCCAGCTCTATGATTTTGGGTGGCCTTCCACTTTGTGGGTCAGTACACCACTAGTCGCATAAGTGGCATCCTGTACCATAGAACAATGTCCTGAGGTTCTGAAATTGACCCTTTTATTATTATTATTATTATTATTATTATTATTATTATTATTATTATTTTATTTACAAACCCCCCCCCCCCCCCCGCCTTTTTTTTTTAAATACTTAAAAGTAGAGAGGGTGCCTTTGTCCTAAATCCAGATTTGGGTGCTCGTTCTACAGAAGTGGGGCCTGGAAGCTGAAGGCTCTGGCTCCCGTTCTGTTTTTAGATACACTAGAATTACAAGTCAACCTGCATTTTTAGAACAAAGTGCTCTGATGAGGTGACAGTACTATTAGGTACAATGAGTGATAATGAAATACTTTTGGCAGTATAGTATATAACAGTTTGTCCTTACATCTCCGAGGTCAATGATGAAGCAGTCTCCACTGTTGAAGCTGGACCAACTGAAGGGGACTTGGGTGGCTCTGACAACACGCCGACCCTTGACATGTAGAAGTCGCTGTGCTGTAAGATCATTGGTGACCACATGGTTGAAACCTGAGGCCACACCCCCTGTCTGTGGACAGAGAACATATTATGCTGTCAACCTTCTCTGTTTACACTGCACTGTCACTTCTCTTTCTTACTCTCTCTTGCTGTTTCTTTCCAGTCATTGTTCCCAAATATAATGTAGCAGGGTTTGCAGAGTACAATGTTATGGTATAAAGTCAACGTAAAAAAAATATCTGTCTAGTTAATAAAGGACAAAAAAAATCAAGTGGTCTGTAAAGTCATATTGTTGAGCCTACAGTAACAATAAACTTTCAATTGCAAAAGCCAGCTAGTGACAATTTCTAAATGGTATGCATGGTATAAGTTGTATACTACTTTGGTTACCTAAGGCAAGGTGTAAGTGAGGGTTGAAGTGTCCTTTGTTCTTTAAATGCACTCAAAGCACAAACGACACTCTTTTGAGGATGCCACATCTTGGACTAAGAAAACAGATGGTTTAAAAAGGAAAAAGCCATTTTCCCCTTTCAAAGTCCAAAGTCAAAAAACCTTCACTATACAGAGGTAGTGGCTGACAACACCATCAGCCACCACCCACACAGTCTTGAGAGCCAGGGGCTTCAATGCCCACTCACACATGCCCTTAGGTGACTTCAATGGGCCACATGATGGGGTGGGGCAGGGTGGTTTCATCCTTAACTTCCTTTGACATACACCCTTATCCCCACCATGGCTCATGTGATGCCTCACGTGATTAACAGGTCATGGACAACGACTGTCAGAACCACTAAAGTTACACAATCATATTTTTAATTCTGTTTGAGAATATAGACCATATTTGTTTTTCTACTATGGGCACAGCAGAGAACAGTCCTGCAAGATGATAGTTTAAATAACCATATGTTCCTCCATGAACTGAATGCAATGATGACGTTGGCACTTGTGGTTCAGGAGCTTTAGACATCTAGAATTGTAATTAAAAGATCAGCATGTTGCAGCAGAGCTCATGAATGAACATACTTTGTAAGTGAGCCCTCCTTTGAAGTAGCTGGTGAAGGCAGTTGACTCAACCCCCTGTAGTTCTCGGTACTGGACTGGCTTTCCACCCAAGTAATCATCCAACTGCACAGTAAAGATGGCTGCAGCAGTGCTCTCATCCTGGCTGCACTCTTTTCCTGTCAATAATAAATAAGGACAGTGAGAAAGTAGTTAAGCAATCCAACTGTATGTTGAAGTAAACTGCTGAATGTCATAAGGTGTTATTCCGGATGGACCAGAGCCTCCTGCCTCCATCTGGTCCATCAGGCATGGAGTGACTCAAAAAGTTTATTTCTGGGGTGGATGGTGTCAACAGTGATCTCTTGTGCCTGCCCCGGGGCCAGGGAAACATTTAGGTTTTGGAAGAGAAAGCACATTGCTGCCAATCAACTTGTGAGCAGAGCAGGTGATGTGCTGTATTCTGCCATTGTCTCTGGCAGTGCCAGCAGCAAATTGTTATGGAGGAGTTGAGGATGGCTTCAGTAATGAAGAAGCAGAAGTGCACCATCACTGACAGGTTGAACTTCTTCGGCTGCTACAAGAAAAATGTCCTTTAATGTGCTGTTTTGATGAGCTTGCCACTGCAGATCCTGGGAAGATGATGGTTCCCAGGAAGTGGAAAGACTTCACAGTGACCACAGGTCAGGCGAGCAGACTCATGGTGGCCTGGTTTCATTCTGAAATTCACAGTCGCCTCCACTGTTCTGTCAGCATAGGTCTCCACCTTGTTACTGAATCATGGCTACCTGAAGGGCCTGATACGCATCACCATTATGGTAAAATGAAAACAGTTGAAACCTTTCCTACATAAAACTCTTGACAGTTACCTGAAAAACACATTATTGTTTGTTAAAACTTGTGAACCTAAATGCCTGCCAATGCGGTGCAACCAGGGCCATCCTGAAATTCACAAGAGTGTGATCTGGGGTTTTTGATATTGTACTTAACTGGACACTCATCCCGCAACTCTGCCTGTGTGTGCTTCGGGTCCTGCCAGACCAGCTGCTGGTACAGATGCTGGTGGAGCTCACCGTGATGCACAGGTCTGCCGTGTGCACAAGTGGTGGTGGCCCAGACCAAGTGCCAGATGCAATTGCTAGAGCAGCTTCACAGGAGACTCTGCTGGCTTCAGTAACTGGAAGATTGGAACATGGAAGATTTTCCACTAACAGTCTTGTGACGACACTCTAAGATCAGCCTTTGTGATAACAATTGATGGTCACATGATGACTTATCACTGACATTTCCATTTGTGATGGTTAGGAACAGATTATACCTAGTGAGCTGTGACAACTGAACACAGGTCGAACACACTCAGTGTGTCTGACTCAGTAAAAGAGGCTCTCTGTGGGGAACCCCTGCTCCACACACCTAATTTTCCTTTCCTTTTATTCTGCATAAGGACGTTTTGAACACATCACTGTTTTGTCCTTGCAGGTAAGGGGGGGTTGATGGCTCTGTTGTGTGCATCCTGCAGAAACTGTCTGAGAGAGGCCTGTGCCTGTCTGTTCAGACCATGCATAATGGTTCCACTGAAAGATGCCAGTGCCTAGATCACCCAGTGGCATCTCGCCCTCCAGCCATTTAAGTTCGAGGTGGTCCATAGGCCGGGGACACGGTGGTGGCTGATTTCCTCTCCTGCTCACAGAGAGGGGAGTGGACATGGCCGAGTGGCTCCCTGGCCTCGTTCAAATGGTAGAGGTATGTGACCGTGGTGTGGTCTGAGGCTCCGATGCAGAGGAGTGGTGCAGTGGGTTCAGCAGGCAGTGCCCTGGAGACTCGCAGGGCAGCTGGGACTAATTATTTAATCACACGCTCTCTGTTTTAGTGGTAAACTGGGATAGGAGGAAAAGAGCAGTGTTGGAGTGAATAAACTGAGCTAGAGATACAGTGACTAAAAAGTCGAAGTATCACAAGAGTGTGATTTATTGTTGTTGATATTATAAATAAATGGACTCTCACCCTGCAACTCGGGTCCTTGTCTCAATGGACAAGCCCCCAAACTAACACTGCTATCTGCCCCTGGTGGGTTAGGGAGACTTCATGTTGACATTATGAACTTGGTGAAGTTATGAATAATGCTGACATTCTCTCCAGACTTTTGCCCGGATAGAAAAGAAACATCCCAGACAAAGCTGAGACAGCAGCTGAATCAACATAAGAAGGAAATGTCAACAAAGAGTGAACCGTCAGAATAAGACAAGCATGACAAGTTGCTGGTTAAAGCTGCAAACTACCAATACAAACTTTGTCAAAGAGAAAACCTACTGGAGATTTCTTTGTGTCTAAGTCAAAAGAATAATGCTGTTAGCCCAGTGCTAGAAAATAACATGGAACCATTAGAGGAAGAATTACTTGTAGAGTGTAAACAGAAGTCTTACCATAATAGTGGTAAAACTACTACTAGCGTTGTGATAATTGTACAAGAACAATTTATTGAAAAATAGCAGTCTGTTACATAACAGAACAAAGGGGTGACTGTAGCTAAAGAGGCAGAGCAGGTTATCTACTGATGACTGGCTGCTCCAGTCTTGGGTTAATATGATCCTTGGGCATCATATTAACCCAAGCTGCTCTCTGACGCACCCATCACAGTGCCAATGTGTGTGTGAATGTTTGTTCAGCTTGTTTGTTTTCTTAAAGTCACAAAAAAGAAGCTTAGAAAACCTGAGCAGCATTTAGTGCCATCTAGATATAACAACTTGCTTTGTTTGAATGTAACTTTTTAGGAAACAGTGAAAATTGGGTGAAGTGAACCCCTAAGTACAATTAATGTATTTCACTTGATTTTTATGTTTTATTCAATCAGAAAATCAAAGCACACAAATATCCCTCACTTTTATAAACACCCTAAGTATCACACACACACACACACACACACACACACACACACACACACACATCATAATATCATATATTTATATTATTATCATATATATATATATATATATATATATATATATACACTCAAGCAAGTCCAGTCATGTTTACATGCTGCCAAACATGCACACAGCTCATCTACATATCAGCATAGAAAGAAGAAAATGTGTCCATACTATATAGTTTTGTAGGTGTATATCCATCGTTCTTAATGGACAAGCACCAGACAGAATGTTGAGAGTAGAGTAGAGTTACTCAGTACACATTTGGTGTTTACTTTCACATTTTGAATTGTTGTTAAAATGGTTCCAATCAAAAACTGTAGGTTGGTGTGGCTCAACATACTTTTGTGCGATGCCTACTTTTTGCAAAGTTATTGCAAGTGAAGTGTGCAAAAGACACAAAAGGAGGCATGAAGAGATGCGGCACCAAAACTTAAACTAGAGCGCTAAGTGTTGAAGTGTGAACTCATGTACTGTTTGTTACACCATTACAGATTTCTTATATCTATGACATGCTGCTACTGATAACTTATGTGGCGCAGAATGACAAGCCAAAACCAAGAGTGTTTTAGGCTTTTCTTCTTCTCTGCTGCAAATAAATAAAAGCAGTAAGAGCAACGCCACAGCTCAATGTTAAAAAGATAATCAGCTGTTGTCAGTAAATGATTAGTTTGGATATGATCATTGTGTGATTATCAGGGGGATCAGGTAACGGCAGGCGTGAATAATGAGGTGTGGCTATGACGGAGCTGTCAGCTCGAGAAAGGCTTATTCAGGTTTTGGAAACTTTATGGCACACAGCATTAAAGTATATCAAGCTTCATACACACACTTATTGTTAGTGTAGTGATTGTATGGAACAAGCGAGGGCTGATTTTCTGGCTAAACTTTCCTGAGGTGTGAAGTAGTGGTGACATGTTGCTGAAGAAAGCAAACTGGTACCTTAGTCATTTATCCACAGCAAATTAACAACAAACTTCATATTTTACTGTTGCAATATTTTTTTAACTATGCAGATCAAGCTTGATGGAGTTGGTGACTTTGCAGCACCTTCTCATTGTGATTTTACAACATTTCACTCACTGAGCTATCGAGTCACGTAGCCAATAAAGCGTCCTTGAAAATGAAGCAGTGAAGTAACAACAAAAACTAACAATAAGCTTCTACTTGGTCCAGAAGGCATCAGACCAGCATCATATGTGAGTGCAATCCGTTAAGTGGGTTACCAATTTATGATGACAGATGCTATATATACTGTGTAGTACTCCATGTGTATATTTAATACGTAGCACTTTTCATGAATTAGTCCCAACAGTGAAGTAAACTGCAGGAGGAGGAGGAGCAGAGCAGGGGATGGTCTATACGACAAACCTGACAAAGACAGCATTGTTGGCAGGTATTCTGATAGGACACTACAATATTTTTATAAAGTTTAAGCATTTAGATACACTGTTAAAAAAACATCTTAAAAAAACGGTTATATTCTGGCAGCTTGGGCGCCAAAATACTACTGTAAAATAACAGAAAATAACTTCCTCATAAAAATACAGTTATTTCCAGTAATGACAATACAGTTTGTTGCACTAATTTTACATGGGATTCTGCCTCTTCCAAGTGCTTTTAGATATTAAATTAGGAACATTTTAACGTGATCAAACAATGGTAAATGTTAAATGGACTGGTTCTTATATAGCACTTTTCTACTCTTTCTGAGCACTCAAAGCGCTCTACACAACTTGTACATTCACCCATTCACACAAGCACATTTTTCTAAGTGCTCTCTAAGTAACATTCACACACACTTTCATACTCCGATGGATGCATCGGAGAGCAATTTGGGGTTAGTATCTTGCCCAAGGATATGTGGGATATTTGCAGACTGGGGAAGCTAGAGATCGAACCACCAACCTTCCGATCAGTAGATGACCCGCTCTACCACCTGAGCTACAGCCACAATGAAATTACCTATAAACAAGGTCAATGAATGTGGCAATATGAATCATAATACGTAAATGTACAGAAATATACAGTTAGTTTAATAATGGATTGCATGCCCTGGGACAGACTGACAGAGGCGAGGCTGCCATATCGCACCATCGGCCCCTCTGGCCGTCACCAGTAGGCGAAGAGTCTTGACCACGGACACAATGACCGAGGGTGTCCGAGCCAGGGCTTGAACCGGCAATCTTCTGATCACAAGGCGAACTCCCAACTCTTGAGCCACGATCACCCTAAACAGCAAAAATAATAATACTTATGTGATGTAACACAAGCTTATAGGAATCGTGTTATATACTTTTCCATAGCATTACATTTGAATTCAACAGTTCAATCTTTCAAATCAATCAATTCCTACCTCTACATTTAATTAGCACAGCGTGGCCGTGCAATGTTTTGTATGTTTTTTTTTGTTTTTATTCCTATTAATTATATTTTCACTTGTTACTTCTGAATTATTGAATCAGACCTAGATGACATGACATTTTCAGCAAAATTATAATTCAAATACTCCTTTAATTATTGATTATTCTCATTAATGTTTGATCATTTTATATATTTTTCCATAGTATTACATTTGAATTTAACAGATCATTCTCTCACATAACAGACAAATAT